ACTCAGAGTTTCACATGCTGGAGGCCAGCAATGACCACAGTCATTATAGAAAATCTTCAGATTCCTTATTGCAAAATATGTCTTACAAAATGTTACCAGAAAATATCACAACCTGGAGCAAAAATATTTACCACTTCTATATCTAAAAAAGACACAATCTAAAATAAGAATCCTATGCATAGAATAGAGAACAAAAATCAAAGGAATATGGATAGTAGACATTAACCAGCAAGTTTAAAAGGAAAAATAGAGATGGCCAATAAATATTTGGAAAGATGATGGTATTATTTATAATCAAATAAGTGAGAATAATAAAACAAAATTTTTGGCAGCACCCATAGCTCAATGGGTAGTGTGCTGGCCACATACACCAAGGCTGGCAGGTTCAAAGCCAGCCCAGGACAGCTAAAACGATAACTGCCCTGTGTCCTGTCCCAGCCCAGGACAGCTAAAATGACAACTGCAACAACAACAAAAAATAGCCGGGTGTTATGGCAGGCACCTGTAGTCCCAGCTACTTGACAGGCTGAGGCAAGAGAATCACTTAACCCAAGAATTTGAGGTTGCTATATTCTGTGATGCCATGGCACCCTGCCCAGGGTGACAGCTTGAGACTCTGTCTCCAAAATAAATAAATAAATAAAAGAAATTTTTCTTCCCGGAGTACCATGCATGGAAAATTGATAACTTGCTCTTGTCTGTGGAAAGATAAATCAGGGAACATTCACCCTTTTAGAAGATTACAGAGTATGGGGAAAAATTGAGAAGATAATGACATTATTTGATCACAATTTAAACATGCTTGTTTTTTGACACTTTAATTTTTGTTTGAAAATATTTTATTTTTACTTTTTTTTTTTTAATTGTTTTAGAGACAGAGTTGTACTTTGTCACCCTCGGTAGAGTGCTATGGCATCACAGCTCACAGCAACCTCCAGCTCTTGGGCTTAGGCAATTCTCTTGCCTCAGCCTCATAAGTTGCTGAGACTACAGGCACACACCACAATGCCTGGCTATTTTTTTGTTGCAGTTTGACTAGGGCTGGGTTGGAACTCACCACCCCTCGGTATATAGGGTCAGTGCCGTATTCACCGAGCCATTCACTGAATGCTGCCCTATTTTTTATTTATTTGTTTTTTTGTTTTTTTGGTTTTTTTTGAGACAGTCTCAGGCTGTTGCCCTAGGTAGGGTGCTGTGTGTCACAGCACACAGCAACCTCAAACTTTTGGGCTTAAGCTATTCTCTTGCCTCAGTCTCCCAAGTAGCTGGGACTACAGGCACCCACCACAACACCTGGCTATTTTTTAGTTGTACTTTTGTTTGGCATGCCCGGACTGGGTTTGAACCCAGCTCCGCTTTATGTGGCTGATGCCCTACCCTCTGAGCTACAGGCACCAAACCTGAAAATGTTTTAAATAATGAAAGTGAAGAGTAAATTCTACATACAATTTTCTTTACAGGATTGGTATTATTGAACAATATGTAAAAGTACTATTTAGAATGGGTAAAAGTAGATAATTAGGGCCAGATGCAGTAGCTCACACCTGCACTCCTAGCACTGTGGAAGGGGAAGACGGGTGGATTGCTGGAGGTCAGACATGCGAAACCAGCCTGAGTAAGAGCAAGACCCTGTCTCTAAAAAGTAGCCAGACATTGTGGCAGGTACCTGTAGTTGCACCCACTCGGGAGGCTGAGACATGAGGATCACTTGAGCCCAGCAGTTGGAGGTTGCTGTGAGCTATGATGCCATGGCACTCTATTGAGGACAATATAATGAGACCCTGTCATAGAGAGAGAGAAAATAATAAAAATAATAAATTCTTTGGAATACTGTACAGATATGAAATGTGATGGAATAGATAACAATGATAATAATTTTTTTTAAACTACTGGTGATTAAGTAATTAACCTATACCACACTTTATCCTGATGCTCTGTATATTCCCTTGTTTAATTGCTGAAAAACATTGTCATGTGAGAATCACTGGACGGAGTGGAAAATAATGGATTTAGGCCACCTTGTCAAAGATCACATGTTTTGGAGCTGACAGAGACTTGGCATGGGCTTTAAAGATCATGGCATTGAATGATGCATTATGGCATCATTATTGAATGATGCATTATGGCATCATTATTGAATGATGCCATGAATGTATATAGTTTGAGAATACAGAAGATGTGCTATATAATTGCCCCACACAGGTCACCACAGGCTTTTATGTTTGGTAGATATTAATAAAAAGTAACAGGCTCCAGGTTTTGAGTACTAGAGAAGAGGACAGTGGGCATTATCAAACAATGTTGCCACTCAATTGCTAAATGCTGCTGGGACACCAAGCAAGATTCATTAAAACCTAACTATAGCCCAAGATGCAGCATTTAGAGTCCTGGAGGGTTACTTACAAGTAGGCGTAGTGAGTACACAAAGAAATGCAGGATTTCTCTGTCATCATTGCACTTCTCAGGGAAGTGTATGTCAGGAAAATCAGTATGTCATTGTCAGGACTAACACAGAATGAGTGGGAAATCTGTAAGTTGACTTATATCTTTCAACATTCAGAACAACCTCCCACCTCAGTGCCATCTCCTCTCTCAGTCATCATTGGTTGTAAGACTGAAGTTACATATGTTGAATGTTGTAGGAAGCAGTGACATTCAAGGATGTGGCTGTGGTCTTCACAGAGGAGGAGCTGGGGCTGCTGGATTCTGCCCAGAGGAAGCTATACCGAAATGTGATGCTGGAGAATTTTAGGAACCTGCTGGCAGTGGGTGAGAAGAGCCACTCTCTGTAATAAAATTTCAGGCTGCAGGAATGACTTTGTATCTTATGAGGTTCCAATTTGAGTATGCAGTGGGAACCTAAATTTTCCAGTAATTTACCTAGACTGTGTTGGGATTAAACATATGACTTTGCATATTCACAGGGCATGAACCATTCCACCAAGATGCTTTCCACTTCATAAAAAAAGAAAAGTTTTGGACAATGAAGACAGTAATCCATAGAGAAGAAAATTCAGGTATGAACCAAACAACTGTGTATCTTTATAGGTGACTCTCCCATCTGTTTCCTTCTGTCCATGTCCACTTCTATCGCCCTGGTGTAAATTACCAAATCTTTTCCCTGAATTATTATTCCTATTGACTGTCCTGCTCCCTCCCTTCCCACCTTGGCATCTATTCTCATAGCAGCCAAGTGATATTTTGAACACATAACTCAAATTGCCATTCACTTCATAAGGATACATAATGTAAACTAAAATACACAAAGTATTGATGATGTTGCTGGTTCTCCTAAAAGTTCCTTTTGAGTTATATTTCATTATGTACATAACTTATAAGGCAAATGATTTACCTTTACCATGCAAGGTTTTATTTCTACCATGTATTTCACATAGGAAACTTGATATTGTTCTGAATTGGTCAGTACAAAGAGACCATAATGCCCGCAGAAAACACAATCTGAACATATCTTGTATTCATAAAAGTTTCATGGCTAAGTGGAAATTGTGATATTACTGAACAAAGGCTTCATTTGTGCATATCTCTTAATTCTGTGTTCTGATAGGAGGCAAAATTCAAACTATGGAGGAGACACTTCCAGAAACAGAATTGCATGAAGAGTTGTCCTGCCAGAAAATGTTGGAACAAATTGCAAGTGACTTAACCAGGTCTCAAGACGCTATGTTTAGTAGCTCTCAGTTCTACAAAGAAGGTGATATGCCCTGCCAGGTTGAGACAGGACTATCTGTTAGTCACATAGGACAGAAACTTTACCTGGGTCATGAGCCTAAACAGTCCTTCGATGATTTCTCAATTTGTGATCTTCATCAACAATTATACTCACAAGAGAAGTCGTATACGTGTAATGAGTGTGGGAAAAGCTTCTGTTATAACTCAGCTCTTCATATTCATCAGAGAATCCACATGGGAGAAAAACTTTATAAGTGTGATGTATGTGGTAAGGAATTCAGTCAGAGCTCACATCTGCAGACTCATCAGAGGGTCCACACTGGAGAGAAACCATTCAAATGTGAGCAGTGTGGGAAAGGCTTCAGTCGTAGATCAGGACTTTATGTTCATCGCAAATTACACACAGGAGAAAAACCTTATAATTGTGAGGAATGTGGGAAGGCCTTCATTCATGATTCACAACTTCAGGAGCATCAAAGAATCCATACTGGAGAGAAACCATTCAAATGTGATATATGTGATAAGAGTTTCCGTAGTAGATCAAATCTTAACAGGCATTCTGTTGTTCACATGCAAGAAAAACCATTCCTGTGTCATACATGTGGTAAGAGCTTTGGTCAGAGATCAGCACTTAATAACCATTGCCTGGTCCACACTGGAGAGAAACTGTACAGATGTGAAGTGTGTGGAAAAGGCTTCATTAGTAGGCAAGATCTTTATAGGCATCAGATGGACCACACAGGGCACAAACCTTATCATTGTAAAGAGTGTGGGAAGAGTTTCAGATGGGCTTCTGGTCTTTCAAGACATCAGCGTATTCACAGTGGAGAAACACCTTTCAAATGTGAAGAATGTGGAAAAGGATTTTATACAAATGCAGAGCGCTATTCCCATCAGAGAGTCCACAGTGGAGAAAAGCCATACAAATGTGAAGAGTGTGGGAAGAGTTACAAAAGGAGGTTGTATCTAGACTTTCATCAGAGGGTCCACAGAGGAGAGAAACTCTATAAGTGTAAGGAATGTGGGAAGACCTTTGGCTGGGCCTCATGCCTTTTGAATCATCAGAGAATCCACAGTGGAGAAAAACCATTCAAATGTGAACAGTGTGGGAAAAGATTTACTCAGAATTCACAACTTTATACTCATCGTAGGGTCCACAGTGGAGAAAAACCATTCCAATGTGAAGAATGTGGAAAAAGATTTACTCAGAATTCACAGCTCTATTCCCACCTTCAAGTCCACAGTGGAGTAAAGCCATACAAGTGTGAGCAGTGTGGCAAGGGCTACAACCGAAAATTTAATCTTGACATGCACCAGAGAGTCCACACAGGGGAGAGACCTTATACTTGTAAAGAATGTGGCAAGAGCTTTAGCCGGGCCTCAAGTATTTTGAATCATAAGAGAATCCATAGTGGAGAAAAGCCGTTCAAATGTGAAGAGTGTGGGAAGAGATTTACTGAGCGTTCAAAACTTCATTCCCATCAGAGAGTTCACACTGGGGAAAAGCCCTACAAATGTGAGAAGTGTGGAAAGTGCTTCAGGTGGGCCTCAACTCACCTAACCCATCAAAGACTACACAGCACAGAAAAACCATTCAAATGTGAGGACTGTGGGAAGAGCTTTGTACACAGTTTATACCTTAAAGACCAACAAGGAGACTACAGCGGAGAAAAACCATACAAATGTGAGGCTTGTGTGAAGGGCTACAAGAGGCGCTTGAATCTTGATATGCTTTTATCATTATTTTTAAATGACACATAATTATACATATTTATGGAACACATAATTTGATGCATATATCCCTGTGTAATGATCAAATCAGTGTAATGAACATATTTATTACCTCATTATTTCTTTGTGTTGGAAACCTTTAAAATCTGCAGTTCTAGCTGTTGCAAATAAACACTAAATTGTTACTGCTTATAGTTACTTTGTTGTGCTGTAGAACACTAGAATGTGTTACTTCTATTATACTTTGTATATGTGTTAATGTTGCAGGAAGATGAGGCCCAACAGAGAGAAAGAGCACCAAAATACCACATTTATAAGAGGAAGGGCTTTATTCACCAGCCTGGAGCTTACGGCATAGAAGAATTCTAAATGGCCACACTCCCCCACTGGCTTGGGGAGTCAAAAAGTTCCACCCCACAGGTACCCTTCTCATTGGCCAGTTTGAATCAAGCAGGTGATGCTATTCTAGCCCCTACAGAACTACAGTTCACAGAACTTGAAAATTTCCAAGTTCCAGGAAGATAAGTTTATAAATTCCCAAGAGCTGAGTCACCATGGAGAGGACCTTGCAGGTATATCCTTGTGGTCTCCTTTAGAAGATCTGTTCTCCTAGACCTCAACCTTATTGGGTATCCTCTCTCATTCCTCCCCCTTTTGAGACTCCAATATATTTTAATTTGGGGTCTCAAGATCAGCTTGTTTCCGCAGGTGCCAATATTACTTTTTAGCACTGAGGTTATAGGGACTGTGACTCT